TGAGGAATGGATAGACAATGGGGAAATTCAAAAGAACAGATTTATTAACTTCTCTACAGCAACAACAACAACAACAAGGGGAAAACAAATGGTAATTAATCTCTATTTGTCTCATCATGTGAGATTTCTCGCGAGGATTTGCAACACGTCGGGTGGTATTATTCCCACCTTTTTCCCATTTGAAGAAAATCCGCCTCATACTGCCAGCTTTTTTCTTCTGTCTGTATAAATGAGCAGTAAAGGTGTTTATCCCACCTGGCGGTAAAATAAACCACTACTATTTTCCCAACTCTAAGTCCTGACAAACAAGTCACAAACGTTTAAGTGTAATTAAAGCAGTTGTATGTGCCGGTTAGCAAAGCCATGTAGACACTGCTTTATAGCCAGCACTATGGCTCACGTCCAAAGTGACTACTGGAAGTCTACCGGTCCTAGTGGAAGAAAACTTAATGCACTCAGTCTTGTCAAATGCATTTGACACATTAAGTGTACTATTTGGTTCGCTGTAGTGTCCACCACCGTGAGTTATCCAGAGTCCACCTTTACTGCAAGTAAACAGACCAAAATGATATTTGATTTAGTAGTCTGCTGCAATTTCGGTACCCATCTTGGCGACATGGTGGACTGTTCGTGACGTCGGTCCATCTGTGCACGTTTTTTGAGGCCGTACCCGAGTATTTAATTTATCCAAGTGAGTTGACGTTTGGATTGGGGTTCAGCCAAAGTGGAATAGCAGTTGACATGGCACTTTCATGAGCGTATTTCACTTACCTCTATTATATTGTGGCAAATTCTGCTTGGAGATGCCGGACTGCAACTTGGAAAGAATGCGCTCCACTTATATTGTGTTATTCGAAGTAGACCTCCACAATCGCATAGTTGGAACCACTCCGTTAAAAGCATATTAAGCAGGTCTTATCGTAGAGAATTAATCAGTATGACAATGTTGTATTTCTGAGGAGATGGTAGACGGAGAGATGGGTAAATGGATGAATGGATGCAGGATGTATACGAGATGGACGGAAAGATAAATGGACAGACAATAGATGGATGGCTGCAGGTTGGATAAATGGGTACAGGGGGGATGAATGCGGGATGGATGGATAAATGTATAGGGGATGCATGGATATGGGATGGATTGATGGATGAATATGAAATGGACGAAAGGAGGGGTGGACGGGTAAATACAAGATAGATGGATGGATGGATGGATACAGGATGGATACAGGATGGATTTAGGATGGATGGATGGATGGACGAGCGGGTCTTAGATGAATAAATGGTTAATAAATGGATTGGTCTTCGATAGAAAGGCAAACAAGTAGATAAAAGCCCTCCAATTAAATGAATCCTAGAAGGAATAATGGGGAATGATACGGTATGTAGGAATGAAAATCAAGTAGATGGACGGATGGATGGAGAAACGGGTGAAGACAAGTTCACTTAGAGCACAGAGTCGTCCAAAGCATTAATAAACTAAGCTATATTTGTTATCCCCCGTAAAGGTAATTTCTCAGCAGAATTTGGTACTTTGGCATCAAAAAAGTCCTCATGGTAGAATGCGTCAATGATTGTTGCATTTCAGTAGTATCTAACGGCCCCTTCTGCTGTTACGCGTTCTTTATAAATTTCTTACCTCCCAGGTCAACAAAGGAGTGAAAGTCTCTCAACATGCATTGAATGAGACTTCAACCCGCCCATTCAGTGGCCACCAGGCTGTCCAAACGTAGAGGACGTAAAAAGAGTGTACATTAGGCGATGGTATTCACTTGTCCGGCGATTACTAGTCCATCTGTCAGCTTCTTTAAATATTTAGTCTACTTGCCCCACCCTATCCATCAAGATTCTGTCTATTGCACTTTCTCGACCACACCCATCCATCCATCCTGGCTATGCACACCTTGAATTCATTATTTCACAGATGCTGTTCTGTGTCCATTTTCCGCCTCAGATTTATGTGCTGTCCACCCACTCTTCTGTCCTTCCTGGCCACTCCCTTGAATGCGGTGTAATTGTGCTTGGTCGAGGGTGCAAAACGTACCACCACCCTTCTTTGATGTAGCCCCTGAGATAGTCTTTTTCCTTTCTTCCCCTTCCTTTCTCCTAAAGACATTTCATTATTCTGTTTGGTATCATCTCCTCTCTACTCAATGTGGCCAGCTTTTTGAGACCTAGTTTTTCTTATCGAAAGAACAAAGGGCGGTGGAGAAAGTGTGCTGAGTACTAAGTACGCAGTACTAGGCAATCCACTTCACTTGTTGTTTGGAGATCGTAAAGGGTAAGATGAAGTGCCTACTACATTCCATTCTACCCCTCTTCACTTGTCATCTTCAATGCTGCCATTCAGTGGAATGGAGCGGAAAGACAGTGAAGCTTAAAAGTCAAGAGGAGTTCTTAATGCCTTTTGAAAAGGAAAGTAATGGAGCTAAGTGGTTTTAGATTTAATCAAGTCTCTCTTGCATCGTTCGTCACTAGAATCATCATCTTATCATCAACAGCACCTCATAAAGTGGAGAGAGAATGCTAGACTTGTTAGCTAGCCGTGAAATAAAAAATATTTGCAGTTTTTGGCGCGTCTTGTTGCAGTTTCTTGATGTGAGATGTCGAGACTCAGAAAGTGGCGGTTGAAACCGATAGGCGCAACTTTGAAAACTGATCTGCCTTACAAACTGCAGAAGGGCAATCTCACGGTCTCAGCATTTGGCGATGATGGAGCAGCGGAGCACATCACCCATCCCTCTTTGAGGGCTTCATCACGTCTCTGAGGCCTCTCCGCTCTTGACAATACGGAATGTTGCTAGTGGCATGAGTGATGGAACACTTCCACATCAACTGGAAAAGTCGAGGAAATTGCTAACAGGTGACAGGTACTAAAAGTTAAAGGCTACCAATTTAATGTCCTTCGCTTATTCCACTTTGGAATGTCTGTGAAGTAACTGACTTGTGGCAAGAAATGACGTTTTATTTCAGGATTTCCCCCTACAAATCACTTATTTCAAATTCCACACTACCTCAAACCAGGGAGGCTGTCTGTGCTCCGCCTGTGTTCCACAACTGGAGGGGAAGCAGGAATGACGAATGAGATGGCTCTACTCGATACACCATCAAACACCTCGAAGGTGTCCAAGAAGAAGTTGTCCCCTGCTCAGAACCAGGCAGAAATATGAAGACAGTGAAAAGGAAGTCCTATTCTTACATGACAACACAACACCAGATGTCTCATTTCATACAGCATTAAATTGTCCATAGGGGAAGGAGCAGAGGTACTACCCCATCCCCATCCTCCAATCCCTCTCAAAGATATTTCCCCAAGTACTGATGATCACTTTCCCTAGACTGTGACAATCTTATGGGAAACGGTGGAAAAGAACGTTTTATAGAGGCGGGATTGGTAGCAACCTCGTGGCTCGATGGGAAGGGATGGTAAAGGTACGCCAAACAAATAGTTCAACGCATGAAATTTGCCAAGTTGCAAATCTTCCCAACGGTCACTCCAAAAAGACCGCATAGATGTGTCTACTTATTTCATACTCCAATGAAAAGATTGGATCCAGCCTCATCAATCCCTGAGTACCCATTGAAGAATTATTTTAGGTGTTTAAATTTTTCATGTCCCGTGTATACTGTTGCCGCAAAAAGGTGCTTCAGATCTAAAAATGGGATTTCGGCATTGCTTCTTTTTCGTCCTTACAAATTCATGAAAGTAGAAAATGCTTCTTTCCATAGCCAGGTTAGCAGGTGACTCTGAAAAGTGCTTAAGGATTAAAGCAGGCACCCTTTCAAACTTTATTTCCACGCATACTGCAATGCAAGGGATCTGATTACATCCAGCCTCGTGGTTGGGCGGAAGTTGCTGAGGACCCAAGGTGAGGGCAAATGCTGATTTCTCCATAAAACTCGGATGATTTGTAACCTCCCCTGCCCCTCCGCCCCCCAACGCTACACAATATGGGATGCCTTCCTCTAGCCAATCTCCTCAATCCCAGGGCCTGAAGTGACGGGTCGAAGTGAGAGAGCAAGAGGCAGCGAGAATGTTCCAGTCAAAGTGTTCGATTTTAAATAACCAGTGGAATTCACACCAAGCATAGAGGGGGTACTCGCTGTGTGTACATCAGTCGGGAAAAATGATTAATTTCACCATAAAACTTCCGCCTTGGCAGTTTACGGTGCTACGAGGGGATGAAACAGTGGTGCGTAAAATTCTAAGTAGAAAAATACTAACTTTTAAGAGGGGGGGAGGCAAGAAAAAACTTTCAATGCCTCACTGCCCTCCAAATGAAATTGTAACGAACGCCTTCCCCTTTGGCCTACATTTTGACACCACTCATTGCAAAAGGATACACATCGCTGCGATGAAGTCGAGGGAGAGGCAATTTACTGTCGAATCATTAAAAAGAAGCTCTTTCATTCACTGGAAGTAAAACATTATTTTACCTTTTTAATTTCGCTAATGAATCCGAAATCGTGTTTAGGTCATAGGAGGGTATATTCGGTTCCCCTTTTTGCTGTCGTGAGGCGCCAAAGCACCGCTGATAAGTTTTCCCCTTCCCGATGGGACCCAATTCAAACCCTTAGAAAGCAAAAAAAAAACACTCCTCATGCATTAACGCCTAACTTTTGGGGAGCAAGGGGAACAAAGTGTACCCCTGGTAAGCATTTTAGTAGTCGATTGGCAAATACACCAGGTTTTTTGCCACCCTGTCAGTTGTGAATGCGAATCCTCTTCGAAGAAAAGGAACATAATTGTTTAAAAGTGACTTCCTCCCAGTCAAACGGCTGTTTGTTTTGCTTAAACAATTGTGATTGCTGCATGAACAAAAGGGAGCCTACACTAATTCGCCGGTCATAGCCACTCGGTGCAAGCATTTCCAGGTCACCGCACAACTTTCTAAAGTGCGAAAAGCAATTGCTTTTTCGCATGAAAGTTCTAACACCGGGAACTGGACTATGACAGCCTGTTTTGCCCCGGGAGGTAGGACAGGAAGAAGGCGGGAGGATGGATTCTCAAACCTGTTTATGCCTCTGGCTAGCTACGAGACAGCCAAAAAAAAACAGCAATCAAGTCTCCCACCAGTTGGAGCAAGGAAAAGGCTTATTCATCATAGCCGCATAAATTTATGTGGGAAGCTTTTAGCTCTACCAAGGTCTGTTGTCCCTTTTCTCGCCCCTATTTGTTTACATACTCACTCTAATGTGGTCCAGTGCGGCGATAGAATCTGCTATTCTCGCTCTTTTTATGGCCAAATTATGTTTTGAACGCTGAGAAAAAAGACTAAGGAAAGATTAATTTCGTTGATCAGCCTCATTTTTTCTCCTCTTTATGTCAACTCTCTCTCCCAATGGATGCTTTAATTACGAAAGCAGCCTTCATTTGTCCTCCATTAACAGCGATACCCGCTATTAATTCAAGTTAAACCGTTTTGAAAAGAACGAGAAAACAAATTTGGAAGACAAGAAAGACATTTGTCTTTTTGCATGTCGTAATCCCCCTCTCCATGTATCTACCTGAAAGTTTAGACGCGGTGCGATCTGTCTGTGGAACCAGTCTCTTCCCCCTCTCCCCTCCTCCGGCTACGCCCTCCGACGTTTTCCAATGCTCTACACCGGTGGAGGTGTCATTGAATATGTCCTCTAAATTCTACTTC